GTTAAGTTTAAAGTGACGAGAAACGTACTGACTGTGGAATTACTGTGTACTAAAAGCTTGTATCGAGAAAGAATAAACTGGTTTAATCAAGGAAGGACTTGTGTCGTTGAAGTTCCTCGGAAATAATTTCTACCGGAAATTAACAAACAAGCAGATACGTAACATAATAAGTTAGATTTTCAAAGAAAATTAGAATATTCTCAACTGCATAAATATTTAACACTATTGGTACGGCAACCCTAAATCAGCTCATGTGCAAAATATTAGTTTGAAAGGTCACAAAATTAGTGTATTGGTCTCGTTCTGTGTGTAATCAAAGTGGTTTAACTTGGCTTCAGAGTAAATGCATGTGTTCAAGCCACAACTCGCATAGTGATATGGCAAACCAACCATGAAGACCAAGGAGCTTTCCAAACAAGTCAGGGATAAAGTGGTAGAGAACCACAGATCAGGAGGTTACGATAAAATTTCAAAGTCGCTGATTATCCCTTTGAGTACGATGAAGTCTACCATTAAGAAATGGAATGTGCTTCATACCGCTTAGTCACTACCCAGATCAGGCCACCCTTTCAAACTAAGCAGCTAGGCAAACAGTAAATTGATTAGGGATTCTACTGTGAAGCCAACAAGTTCCATGTCTGAGATGGGAGTCGGTGTTTATACATCAACAATATCCTAGTCCCTTCACAAAGTTTGCCTGTATAGGCGAGTGGCAAGAAAGAAGTCATTACTGAAAAAATCTTAAATCTTGTATAGAGTTTGCGACAAAGCATGTAAATTATACTGCAGACATGTGGCAGAAGGTTTTGTGGTCAGATGAGACAAAATTAAATTTTTTGGTTTGAATTCATAGCGTTACGTTTGGTACAAGCCAGACACAGCACACCACCCAGTCAATACCATCCCAACTGTCAAGCATGATGGTGGCAGTATCATATTATGGGGATGCTTCTCGTCATCAGGGACTGGGAAACTTGTCAGGATTGAGTGGAAGATGGATGTGTAAAGTACAAGCGAATCCTAGAGGAAAACTTGCTTGAGTCAGCCAAGAATCTAAAATTGGGTCAAAAATTCACATTTCAGCAGGACAATAACCCGAAGCACAAGGCCAAAGCCACACTGGAGTGGTTTTAGAAGAAGAAAGTGAATGTTCTGAAGTGGCCCAGTCAAAGTCCTGACTTGAATCTAATAGAAAATGTATGGCGAGACCGGAAAATTGGAGTCCATCAACGATCCCCAACGAACTTATCAGAATTGGAGCAATTTTGCCAGGAAAAATGGGCAAAAATTGCACAATCCTATTGTTCAAAGCTGCTAGAGACCTACCCAAAGAGACTCACAGCAGTAATTGCTGCCAAAGGTGCTTCCATCAAGTACTGACTTAGGAGGCTGAATACTTATGCAATCAGCTAATTTCAATTTATATATTTTCTTTGAAAGTTTTGCTAACATTCAATCTTATTCACTCATAACAAGGTTAAGTCTGATCATTAGAGTTTTGAATAAAAACAAGTTCATTAAAAGATTGTTTACACAGCACGGATAGTCCATTGAACTTTCGACTAGAGGAAAGCAACTGGCCGGCAGCACCCATCGCAGATTGCGAGTTGAGCGCAGTACCTACCAGGTCCAGCTTATATCGTAAGCTTAGAAGCATATATATTTCTATATTTACATTAATGAGTTGTATCCATTCACTAGATAAGTACCTTTAATACCAAGGTATCAACTCATTAAGTTTAGTACCTCTCGTAAAGGTGGGTCCCGCGCAAAAAATTTAAATAGCGAGGCTGGAACTGGTAAAAATTAACAAAAATAATCCTTTTTACATCATAGATATAAATAAAATATGGGCTAAATGAATATTAACGACTAAGCGGATCTTAAGTGAGTTTGAAATGTAAATATATAAGTTTGATTTAAAGATTTTGTAAATTATAAGTTGAGCTTACAGGATATTGAGCTCTGCTCGGAGTGATCGTAGTTTGTTAGTAACAAGATTAGGTAACGATTAGCCCTACTGGCTCAGCGATAAGTCTGAAGACCTATAGCGCTAAAAACCGGGTTTCGATACCCGTGGTGGTCACAGCACAAATGGTCCATTGTGTAGCTATATGCTTTTAACAACAAACAAACAAAAAGGCTAAACATTTTTTTGTATACGTATGTTTATATATATATATATATATATATTTATATAAACAAACTAGTTAGAGGGCGCTAGAAAGCTAAATCCATTTATAAAATTGAAATTGCGATCAAATTTAAACTTGATATTTTAACTGATTTAAGGTATGTTTATTTAAAGTTATCATGTTATGATTTTTGTGTATGAAACAAAAAGTTGCAAATTTTAAATGTATAGTGTTGTTTAAAAAAATATTTGTAGCTCTAAGTGTAAAGAATGACTGGTATTGACAATGTGACATACGGATATATTAATTTATTTTTTAACCTTGTTTAAAAATTAAAATTGTGTATTTTGATTTTAAATTTTATTTCTGTTTCGTAAACATATCAGTATCATATATATAATTATTATAAATTATTGAATTATAGATGTAGCATGATTTTATCATTCATAACATTACAAAGTATAATAATTTTAATATCGCACAAACAGTAGTTCACTAATTGTAACTTGTAGTTTTACTACTCGTAACTGTTGAACTTGTAAGTTGTAATATGATAAAATAATGATAATGCCAAAAAACAAATGACCAACTCAATTAATGTTATGACTATGACTGAGTGTGACTGTGACATCGTCATTATAAGTTGTATTTAAGTTTTAACTATCCATTGTATAGAGCTAGTGCTACAACTTTATTATTTATAAATTATATCACATTAACAATACTCAGTGCTAGGTTTAATGAGTGACACTACAGACATAATTATGTTGTTTAGCTATTATCTTACAAAATGCAACTTTTCCTTCGATTCAGTCACACACTTAATATCTGTATAGTATTAGTAAGACCTTGGTACAGTAGAACTTGACATTGTGATGTGTGGTGTACCAGTATGTGCTTAATAAACCAGGTAAAGAAATTTATTATAGTAAATAAAAAAAACAATAGAAAATAACAAAGAAGTGTTTGTAAAACTAAATCTTGTGTGCCATACTTGATATATGCTTTTATATCTGGACTAAGCTTCACAAATGCTTAAAAATCACTTGTAATTTATGTTAAAATATTTAAGGGGTGGCAATGTACAAACAGTGTAGCATTTACAAATATTAGAATTTTTTTTTTTGCTCTTGCAAGTAATTGTATTCTGTTTTATACATTTATGCATGAATATTTATTTGGATATTACAAATATTTTTATGAGGTTGTATTTAAATAAAGGACAAGGGATAAAAGAAGTATCACATATATCAGGAAATTAGCAAGTGAGTGAAATTGTTATGTCAGCTTCTATTATGAACTTAAGCCTGTCAGTCAGCAGGGCTTCCAATTTAAGATCAGAGTGTACCATGTTAATTTTAGGAAAAATATAATGGAGGAGGTATCTAGGGCCCCAGTAGGTTTGAAACAAAGCCCCCCAAAAGCTCTTGAGTTTTGTGATAATATAATTATTTTGTTTATTTACTTCTCCTTTAAGGTTTTATGAGTAATAGTTTATTTAACAACACAAAGAATAACCAGTAATTACTGGACAAGTGTTGTTTTTTTCTTTCTTAACATCATTTTATCTTTAAGGACATTTAATTTAATATTTGATATTTGTTTTTACATCAGAACTATGCATAACTCTAATTATGTAAATCCACCAAATATAAAATGTCACAAAAATGTGTCATTCATACATCAGTTCTATTCTGAAAGTATATTTCTGAACAGTCAAAACTACAGTAAATTTGTTAGATCTGTGATAAATCCCTAACAACTTGAATTGATCATAAAACTTGATTAGTAATGGTTAATAATGAAACTATTTGAAATGCAATCAATATAGTTTATAATATTTAGAATACTTATGGTTTGGAAGACTGGAAAATTTTTAAAAGTGTGCATTTTCTCTTTACTGTATTTGTAATCATCAACAAAATGCTAAAGCATACTCTGTGAGAATTGATAAGTGTTTTAAGTGAGTTTGTTATTGGATGTGCTATAAATAACTTTTGGCTATTCACTTTTGATTCTGATGAATTACAATTTTTTGCAATGAAATTTGAAGAAGGAATATTTTGAGATTTTTTTAAATCTTCACTTGTATATAGTACCTACATTGTTAGTAGATGTGGAAAAGGAGTGGGTAGTGGTCCATTTTAAAATCACTGAGTTAAGCCAACTTATGAAACATAATAGTAAAAAAAAATAAACTGCTTTCATTGTTATTAAATGAACTATTATTGCATTATTATTAATTGAATAATCCAAAAGAATCTGCTCAGCAATTGAAACTGTTACAACATTTTTAAATGCAATATGCGTACAGATACTGTCATAACATGAGCATGTCAGTTTTAGTTTAGTGGGTACACAAACAGACAAGATCTTCAAAATGTAATTATGATAATACCAATCAGGTTTATTTTTGTGTGCTGTTTTCTTTTATTTATCATGTCTGTTGTCTCCAATTTAATTCTAGTACTTTAGAGATATCTACTATTGTAGTCAATAGTGATAAAAACAAACAATATTACAAAAAGCCATTCAGATTTTCATAATCTAAACAACCATATATTATAAAACCAAGCTAAATGTAACATTTCACATTATTATAAAATCTAGACTTATAATATCTTTGATAAATTGCTTACACGTTAGATGTTTATGAAACTAACAGAAAGGTGAGGAAGCAGATAGAAAATTGATTTAGGGGTAGACAGCAGAGAATGATGATAAATTCACATTTTTGCTTCTAGAAAATGTGATTAGTGGAGTCCCTCGGGTGTTTTGGGATGTTGTTGTTTATAACTGATGTAAGCAACATGGATTGCTTCTGGAATGATAATATTTAATAGTGAAATACATTTTTTGGACCTTCCCACTCACCAGTAATGTTCAAATCTTTATAAATTATAGAAATATTCCTAAAAGTATCACTTTTATCCAGTCACTTGGTATTGTAATCTAATATGGATCATTTACTTCCCAAGTAGATATCTATATCATTAATATTAATAATAAAGGTACCAAAACATATGTATACATAAATAATACCTGCTCAGTTTTCTTCTAAGCAGGAACTTTCTTTATGTTCTTAAATTTGAAAGAAAAATATTTCAAAGCCCTACACTAACTGTATCCAAGTTCTTCAAAGATTTTAGATAAACCTCACCAGACCCAAGAGTTTTTACTAGATTGAAGAATACAAGATATTTTGCTAAAATCAACAGCACAATAGTCGAAGAAAAACAATAATCACACATCATAATTTAATTTAGCAAATAAAGTAAACTTATTAGCAAGTTGTGACATTACACTTGATACCAGTTTTTCAAAAACAAGAAAATGTTGTCTGATAAACAAAAAAAAAGAAGAATTTTTGAATTTAAAATTATTGAAACAGGCAAACACTAAAAGAGGGATAATAGAATTATTTGTAATCAGCTTTTGGGATTTGTATACAAAAATTTAGAGAATAATAGAGTACAAAGATTATTGTTGTACTGTGTAACTGGTCATATCACATTTTGGGCTGTACAATGTACTTTTTAGATTTAGTTTTTTTCTTATAAAAGAATATATATCTTCTGGAAAAGGTGTAAAAGGACTACCAGTACTTCCCTTAAAAACACTTTATTAGCTAAAAGCTATATGATTTATGTTTTAGAAATTGTTAGAAGTTTGGATAGACTACTTGTTAAAAGTATTTTTTATATTATTTTATAGGTTGTAAGTTATGTAATGATGATTTTAATTATTAAAAGTAATGTGTATAAGCTTTGAAAAATGAAATGTACACCAAGATTAATGTTTGTTACAATTGTAGATAGAATTATTCCTCAGTTAAAACTATTAATTATGTAAAAGTTAACCTAATGATAGTTTGCATTCCTTTACAACATATTGATGTAGAAGGTTACTTTTGATTTGGTTGGTGTTTGAGTTTTCATTGCATGATTTTGATCTCATAGTGAAATAAGATTCAGTGTGTGTTTGTGTGTCTTGTAGCTTAAACAGCTGGTCACACCAACCAAATGAATCATCTCGGTCCTGAGGTTTGCACAAAGGTAATATTTATCACTCTACCCATGGGGGGCCCAGGGATTTCCTGAAAACCCCTTCTTCTAAACTGCTGTACTCACCAACTTCTAAGTAATGTCACTCAAATAGTCCAGGCCCCAAGGTTTGCACAAAAGTAAAACTTTTCACCCAAGCCATTAGAGGAACCAGGTATTTCATTGAAACACTTTTATAGGTATTCCCTGAAACTTGAAAGTAGACACCAAATTAGTACTCATACAGCTTATATTTTAGTATGAAAAAATGTACATTGGATATTAGATAAGTAGAAGGGTTTGTAATGAAAAGAAATGTCATTCTGACAGGAAAGAGCTAAAGATTTTATTGAATAAAATTTAACATAAATGTTGCTATAGTGCCAAGGGTGTTATAATGATCTGCAGCTGCTAAGGTTGCTTATATGTTGTTTCTTTAAAACATATTGAAAAAAAGGTTATCTTTACTTTTTATAAGATATTTTGATTTTTTTAATAGGTTCTGATGGATGAAATTAATACTGCAAGTTAATGTTTTATGAAAGAGTGTAAACACCACAAATGGATTTCATCAGGGATGATCTTTCATCCAGATATTTTGGAGTTTCAGGATCTACAAAACCACAACTATCTTTCCAGAAAAGATGTGGATATGTTGACTGGAAAAAATTGGGTAAAGAAAGAAAACCTTATTCTTTGTGGTATCATATAAAAATGTTCCACTGTTGTATGTACATGTATATTTACCTGACCTCAGCATTTCGTATTTTCCGTTTAAAAATTTTTTTTGTGAACAATTATGATTATAAAGATTTTAGAATTAACATAAAATGTAGCATTGCAGTAGAGAGAGCTTCAAAGAAATGTTATTTTGCATCAGAATTTACATAATCTACTTAATATATTTTGCTCTTGTAATAACCATGTCTACACCAAATCTTGCAAAAACGTTTTTTAATGTTGTAAAGAACTATGTGTGGATATACTCTGACTGAATAAATAATATACGTGATCAACCTTCCCTTGGCTTAACATTCATACTGTGTGTCATGTGTGTTTTATAATTTGAAGAAATGATGTCAAAACTTATCAAGCGTAAAATAATAAATACAGGAATTATGAATATTGTATATATATAGTATATATATATATATATATATATATATACACACACAAAACTCATATTTCAAATGCCAAACCTAATCTTGGACAAAGTTGATTTTGTTCAGTTTCTATCTGTACCATTGTAAATTTCCTCAAGAAATTGATATTGAGACCATGTGGGAAGCAAACCCATTTTCCTATTTGTATTACTTTAACTAATTAACCTGGTAGGTCTCAAATGCCTTCTTCTCTATTTCACTACTTATTGTATTTGTGTTATAACATATTTTCTTTCAGCATCAGTTGATGTGGATCAAGTTGCTCGTAATCTAGATTTCAGAGCTCTGCAGGAAAATATTTCCAATGTGACTTTTTGTAACATAGAAAGTGAAGTGGTAAGTTAAGCTTTCATAAATGTATTTGTATGTTTGTGAACGAAAAAAATTCCATAGAAGATTTGCATGTTTCTGTTTGTAAATATAAGTTGTACTTACATAAAAAGTGAGAGAGTTCACTTTAATAATTCAAAAAATAATTTTTTAAAATTTAAAACATCTAAGTAATAGTTGATCTATGGGAGGCTATAGAGACTGATGGTAGAGTTGAGGTGAACACACTGTACATGCCAGTGATGTATCTCTTACACACCCTACTCCTACAGCTGTCAAGGGGCCCATAAAGACTGATGGTAAAGTAGAGGTGTATACAAGTATCCATACTGAAACAAATTCATCCATTGCCCTCCTCCCATATCTAGAATGGGGCCCATAAAGACTGATGGTAAAAGAAGTGAGCACATAAAGTATGGTCTGAATGAGCCCCAAACTAACTACACTTATTGGCTGTTCAACGTCTTACATGCAGGTACTCGAACAGCCATGTACCAATTCTGCCTGTCTAAGCAACACAGATCTGGATTATTTGCCTCTCGTCTTTTTTATGTGGGCAAAGAGTATACCCTGGATGAGACGAGATGCAATCTTCCATGAGTGTTCCCCTATGGAATTTCTGGCATTGGGTGTTGAACCCAATGGGCTTCCTTTGGATGATTTCTGAAGGAGTCTCATGTAGATAAACTTTGCACCAGTCCCTCCACCATCTCAACATGGGATTCTAGCTAAACTATGAGTATTCATTTCTGAAGTTAAAATTGTTCTTACCTGAAAATTTATTTCCAATAGAAACTCACCTCCTAACACATTCACACCCATTTTTCCCATTTATGGTGCACATTTTTTACTTTCCTCTTCAAAGAATGGAGATTCACAAGTGCAAATGCGAAGTAGTTAGTATGTATGGAAGTATGTTGCCCTCCTATTGGTGGAGAGCTTTTTCTGGATGATTACATCATCATGAAATGGCTCAAATTTATGAAAAAGTAGGTGGGAGTTTTCTCAAGGCTAGTGGCATGCAACTCTCTTTGGCAGAACACATGTGAGAGCTGAGGATGATAGCTAAACTGTGTGAGAGGTGAGTATCTGTTGGAAGGAAAACTTTATTTAAACCTTTGCACCAAAGATTTACATGTACATTAAACATACTTTAAGGTTTTTGCAACCCCAAAAAAAACTATAACCTGAATGTCAAAAAACATTTTATGTAACAGAAAAAGTAAACTTGCTCTTTTTTTTTTTAAATTGGAGAATTTTTTAAACCACAAAAAACATTATTACACCTCATGACAGTATATTAGGTTTAGACACTGTAAATTTTCTTTAAGGAGTTACAGTATTGTTTATGTGTTAAAATAAGTTTAAGCTTGAAAGAAACAGCTATTGTATCAAATTTTGAAACCAATTTATTCATTAAAACATTTTTAAATACATTGTATAGATTGCTTGCTTCTAACTACTTACTTTGAAAAGAACAGTGCTTTAAGTTTACTTTTCTGAAAATCATTTTTTTATTTAAATATTATATTCAAATCATTTAGTCTTACTCTGAAATACTAAAAGCCTTTCCTTGTTTAGATTTTCTCATGCTCTCAATAACATGTGTCTTATAGTTCAGAATGTCAAAAACAAATGTTTACGTATATGTCTGGCCAGTAATTGGAGGAGTTTAATACATGTAAATGTTCTCCTTAACACATGTTTATCTTTTATTGATAGATTTTTTTGGTACATCAGGATTATTATTCTGTGATTCACTTTCATGTAAGTGATTATTACGTCCAATTTTTATAGGAGTATTGGTTTTCAAATTTTGTATACGTTTTGGTCATGGGTCAGGTGCTCTCTGGATATATGTTCCTAGTGTTGATTTAATAACAGGCAAGCTGTCTTGACTCACTGCATTGTCTTAATAGTAGTCTCTAATTACTGTAGAGACTATAAATACAATGTTTATGTATGTGGTTCATCATTGCAAAATTAGCCTAGTTTATAGCTTTAAATCACAGTCAACTGTTCTACTGCTGAAATCAACATTGCTTGTTTGAGTGACTTAATTCATGATTAATAAGAATTGCTCATATATGCAAGAAACCTCTTATTGATTGTTATTGGATCCCCTGGAGTGATCAGCTCATTCATAGTCTCCATTTCTATGAGCTATTTTGCTGTTTTTGTATTGCCATTTGCTCTACAACTATTTACATATATTGTAGTTGTGTTCAACAGGTTTTGTATAGGTTCGTGAAATCTTAAAAAGTTATGTAAAATGAGCTTTAAAAAATTAAATACTAAAAATTCTGGAACATGGCTGTATTTGAGTTATAGCCATGAAAAAAGTTGTGAAATTTCAGTTTCCATAAAAAAATTCCCTTGGAAATAATGGCTTAAATTAAAGAAAATTAAAAACAAAAAAGTTTGATTACTAATAGAGCAGGTTTGCTTATTTTGGTCACTGTAAATCCTTTTCTGATGTGTATGTTTGAAAATTCCAGTTTAATCCTGCATGGCAGAATTCTATACTTTTATAAGTATGAATATAGATGCTGGAAAAGCCCTAGAATTTTCGTTTGTAAAGTCTATATGAAGCCAGGTGTGATAATACCCTTACCTGTTTTGGTGGAAAAAGAAATATATCTGCCTAGTATGCCTTTATTTTAACAGTGCTCTTTCCTTTGGTTTTCTTAGTCATTAGAGACTTGTTTATACCCATTAAGATCTCACAATTACTGGTTTTGTTACTTACATTTGGATTTTCCAAATTGTTTATGAGAAAATACAATAATGTAAATGATAGTAGGAGCACACATGCATTACACATACAAGAGTCACAAACAAGTAGTTACAACTAGATGGTGAATACACAGTGGTACAAAATATCATTATAGAAAATACAAAAGTGAATAAGTTGTACAATGCACTGGTATTGTTTATGTGAGCCATTTGCTTTACAAGTATAACTACACCTTTTTTTTATACTGCCATACAGTTTATAAGTGTATGATTGTGAAATGTTGTTCTAAATGTCCTGTTTTACTCCATACATTTCAGCCAAAGTGTTTGGTTACCTTTTGATTTTGTTACTTTTACAGAAGCCCATAAAGCCTGAAGAATTTTCTTATTGGGAGTTTGTACAGGCCGAGTCATAGTTGTACGTGTTTTTGTGACTGTTTTAGCATCTTAACATATTTGATGTATTCTTAGAATCATTGTTTTACTTCCTGTTGAGTTAATTCCTGAGGGCTTGACATACTAAATTGAAATCAGCCTGTAATTGTGAGCAATTAAGATGTCATCAATTTTGTACTGATCCCCCACTATGCTTTATAGTCGATGTTGTAAGTTGTCTATAAACCATTTTCCTCTCTGCTATCAAATGAATTGTGATTGATTTTTATTTTAGTGTAAGTTGTATTTTCTTTTGATGATGTTTTGGTCTCTTTTCTGAATAAGGTTCTGATGAAAGCCTCATCATAGAGGCCAAAATGTTGTCAAAAGAAAAGAAAAGATGTCAGTTTGTTTCAGGCCCATAGAAAATTTTTAACACATTATTCAGTGTTGCTAAAGAATTTGAACTTTGATTAATATATAAAAAGCACATATCTCCATCTTTTTTTGCTCATTCCAACATTTATGTTGTGATGCCCACTTCAGCCTTTTGGTAAGGTTACATTAACTTTTCTCATCAGTGATTTTCAAGTAGCTACATCCCCTTTATGATCACTTTGTGCTAATGTGTGTTTTAATGTTCTCAATATACATGTATTTATGCAAGGTTACTGGCAAGATTTATTTCTCATTGTCCCCTATTTTGTAAGAACGTCCTTTGAAATAGCCCTAAGATGCTTTATCAATTTTGGGATTTCTACCTCAACCACTTATGTTATTAACAAAGCCAATTTCATATACCCTCTTCAGAACCTTGCATACAGCTTTTACTGAAACATGGAAGTTTGACGCAATTTTTTCATTAGATATCCTTGACCAATATAAACTTGGATTTCTTCATGCTTCTTGTGTGATATTTCAGACTTGAAAACCATGACTGGAATCCAACTACTAGTGCTACTAGGCATTGTATGACTGTATCTACAATGATGGGCTTTAACTCTTTCAGTATGGGCTTGAACCCTGGGACTGACCTCGTAACCATTTTGTGCTTGTTGTAGTTTTCATGCTATAAATTTTAAATTAGTAAGCATAAGTTAATGAAATTTGGCAGATTATCAGTAAATATTATAATGCTTTCACATGCAAAATATCAAATTTTTTTATTAAGTGCTAAGATTTGTAAAGCAATGTTTTTCTCATGCCTTTTTTTCTTTTCACATGTTGCCTATCCAACATGCAAAGCAATTTTCATTTTAAAATTAAAAATACTTTTGTGCATCCAAAAAATTTTAAATTTCAATTTGCAAAATCTTTATAATGTCCAGATAGTTATCAAACGTTTCTAAGAAAAAACTTTATATTTTATCTGTTATTTTCAGTAACGAATCTCTGTACAGGTTTGGTCAATTTGGCTGATCCCATGACCACGTTAAAAAATTAGGAAATAAATTTAAATTATGCCTTTTTGTTCTAGAATGACTACAGATTATAACATGAAAACATAGATGTTTAGACTAAATGGCTTAAATCTCATAACATTATACATTTATATATATATATTATTTTTATTGTATTGACCTTTCAGCTGTGCCTGGCTAACAATACAGAACTTGCAGTGATGCAGCACACATGCACTCATGTTACTGTATCCAATAGTACAAAACTGACCTTTAGTCTTTACAAGGTGACCTGTCTTGGCTTTGTTTTAGTAGACTTGTATTTTGTAAAATACAGTCACATTTCAATTATTATATATGTATATAGATTATTGCTATTTAGAAATAAGTTCTTAAACATATTTTTCTTAATACATAGAACAGTAGATACAGACCTAAAACAAACAATTATCTCTTCTAGTTACAACATTTGTAATCAGTTGCTGCTTAACAAATGTTGCTAAGCCTTTGAAAATTTTGCACGTATAATTTTTTTTTAGGTTTTATGTATATACAGTTGAATAACCAAAAAATCATAAATTACTATATCACTACCATAGAATTCTGCTACAATTTATCAAGCTTAGTAACTAATTTATCATGCTAAACTAAAAATGTATCATGAAAAACGTTTTTCAGTCTAAAAATTTTGAAATTTTGAGCAGACTAATGACACAACCTTCCTCCTTGAAATCATGGTTTGAAAGAAAGAGATGGCATCCAAACATGTTAAAATGGCCGAGAAAGCCACAAGGAGGTCATCCTGAGCTTTCAATTCGTTATTCATGTCATATATAGAAGTAAGTGTATATAAGGGAGTGTTTCCAAAATTGGAAAGAGGTGGGTGGGGTGCCACTGTTTGATTTATTACACAAACAATATCTTAGCAAAT